GTGCAGGGTCTGCTGGCTGGGTGCTGGCAAGCTTGCACCTGGCACGGGCACCGTAGCCAGCCCGTGCCCCTTTAAGGAGTCCAGGGCCGGGAGGGGGGCAGACGAGTTTCCCTGGTGTTGGCCAGAGCGGCCACCAGGGAAAGCTGGGGAGGGCTAGCCTCCCACTAGTTCGAATTAAGGGGCTACACACTAGTAAGTTTGAACTAGGCTTGGTCCTCGTAGAATGAGGTTTTCCTAGTTCGAACTAAGCACTCCGCTAGTTCGAATTAAGTTCGAACTAGCGGAGCGCTTGTGTAGCGCCTATTAAAGTTAATTTGAACTAACGTCCGTTAGTTCCAATTAACTTTGTAGTGTAGACATACCCTAGGTCTTTTTACGTACACTGACACGCACCAACGTGGAATGATTTTCCAATATTGAGGGATGAATAACCATTTATAAAATTCAAAAGGCCAAAATCCCCCATTGTTTGCAACTTTCATCCTGCTCTTCGCTCTTCAAATGGTTTCAACCACATTTTGGCATGAGACTGAGATCAGAATGTGCCCACATTTGAAGAATCCTGTCTGGTGAATGTGGTTTTAGCATAGTATTCCAGAAGGAAGGAAGGAAGGAAGGAAGGAAGGAAGGGGTGGATGGGGATAGGAAGGAAGGAAGGAAGAGATGCCTTTTTGAACTTTCAAGTGGAGAGACTAAGGCCAGGTCTACATTAGACCCTGAAGCTAGACTTAAGGTATAGACCTCCAGCCAGGTAAATTACATAGTTGGAGCTGGCTTAAAATAAGTGAAGTTTGGTGTTGTCATCCCAGTAGGAAGCTTATAGCTGAGCAAAAGTTTGACAAAAAATGCCCTGGGGAACGACAGTGGATGAGAAGCTGGATATGAGTCAACAGGGCGCCCTTGTAGCCAAGAAGGCAAATGGCATATTCAAATGCACGAAAAGGAGGATTCGGAGGAAATTTGGGAAGTCATTATTCCTCTTTATTCAGCACTGGGGAGGCTACCTCTGGAGTATTCTGTCCAGTTCCGGGCCCATCCAGGACAGAAAGGATATGGACACAATGGAGAGGGTATGGCAGAGGGCAACCAAAATGATGAGGGTAATGGAGCAGAAGACCTATGAGGAGAGGCTGAGGGACTTGGGGTGGTCTACTCTGCAGAAGAGAAGAGTGAGGGGGGATTTGATAGCAGCCTTCAACTCCCTGAAGGGGGGTTCCAAAGAGGATGGAGAGAGGCTGTTCTCAGTGGGGGCAGATGGCAGAACAAGGAGCAATGGGCTCACATTGAAGGGTGAGAGGTCTAGGTTGGAGAGACAAACCCCGTTGCCAGCTTTGTCCACATATTCATTCTGCTGATACCATTATTGGACCTAACCAAGTGAGTTATAAGATCAAGAACACATATTCCTGCGCATCCAGAAATATAATCTACGCTATCATGTGCCGAAAGTGTCCGTCTGCTATGTACATTGGACAAACATCTCAGACACTTCGCCAAAGGATTAATGCCCACAAAACAGATATCAGACAAGATCACAAAGAGAAAACAGTTTCTTGCCACTTTAACCAGAAAGGACACTCTCTAAATGACTTAGCCACCTGCATTCTGCTACAAAGACCTTTTACATCTGCACTTGAAAGGGAATCCTCTGAACTGTCATTCATGTTAAAATTCGACACTTTCCAACAAGGACTTAGTTCAAATGTTTGTTATCTCACCCATTACCAAGATAGTTTCCCCAATTATCACCTCTAATACCATTAACTCACAAACATCCCACTCTCCCTACCTCTAATATCATCAATTCACAGACACTTACCTTCCTTCCTCCCCCTCCCCCACCCCGCATCTCCCTTCTGTTCTGCAATGTGATTTGTCCTTTTCATATTTGTTCTTTTTTTTAATTGTATCCTTTGGTATATATGGTTGTGACTATTTTCTTCCACTATTTGATCTGAGGAAGTGGGTCTGGCCCACGAAAGCTCATCATCTAATAAACCATCTTGTTAGTCTTTAAAGTGCTACATTGTCCTGCATTTTGCTTCATCCATCCCTAGAGGTTTTCAAGTCCCGGCTTGACCAAGGCCTAGCTGGGATGATTGAGTCGGGTTGGCCCTGCTTTGGGCATGGGACTGGACTCGATGCCTCCTGAGGTCTCTGCCAGCCCTGGGATTCTGTGACTCTACCTGTTTGATGTTCCTCTCAATCAGTCTCTGTCACCCCTGCAGATGACCTATTCCGAGAGCGACCCCGGCAAGAACCAGACCATCTCCGGTGGGCTCATCCTGGTGGGGTTTTCCTACCTTAACAAGCTGCAAATCCTTCTGTTTCTGCTGCTGCTGGTCACCTACCTCCTCACCCTGGTGGGGAACATTCTCGTTATCATCCTGGTAAAGATCAACCCTTCCCTCCATACCCCCATGTATTTCTTCCTGGTCAACCTGTCCTTCCTGGAAATCTGCTTCACCTCCAGTGTGGTCCCTCAGCTGCTGGTTCACCTCCTGGTGGAGGAAAAGACCATCTCCATTGCGGGCTGTGCAGCTCAGATGTTGGTCTTCAGCATCATGGGCCTCACGGAATGCTGCCTCCTCGCGGCCATGGCCTACGATCGCTACGTGGCCATATGCCATCCCCTGCACTACACCACCATCATGAGTAGCAAGGCGTGCGTACAGCTCACGGGGTCTTCATGGATCATCGGCATCTCTCTGGAGGTAGCTCAGACCACGTGGATCTTCAGCCTGCCCTTGTGTGGCTCCCACCGCATCCACCACTTCTTCTGTGACATTGCACCGGTGGTGAAGATGGTCTGCACCGACACACTGAAGATTGATATACTAGGGTTCTTTATCACCGTGATTTTTATCATGGGTCCTTTCTTGATTATAATCCTGTCCTACGTCTATATTATCTCCACCATCCTGAAGCTGCCCTCCGCAGAGGGGAGACGTAAAACGTTCTCCACCTGCTCCTCCCACCTCATGGTGGTGAATTTGTTTTATGGAACGAGCCTTATCACTTACCTGTGGCCAAATTCTAGCCCCACCCTGGAGAATGATCAAATAGTTTCCCTGTTGAACACAATAGTGTCACCTATGTTGAACCCCATGATATACACACTGAGGAACAAAGAGGTGAAGGGAGTCTTGAGCAAAATACTTGAGAAGAGAAGACAAAGATCAGGTTAAGAACTATTTAGAAAAGTTGGACATACACAAATCCATGGGCCCAGAAATAATGCATCTGAGGATATTGAGTGAGTTGGCAAATGTCACTGCAGAGACTTTGGCCATTATCTTTAAAAACTCCTGGAGATCATGAGAGGTCCCAGATGATTGGAAAAAGGCAAATGTAGGGCTCATCTTTAAAAAAGGGAAGAAAGCCAATCCAGGGAACTACCGACTGATCAGCATCACCTCAGTCCCCGGAAATCATGAAGGGGATCCTCAAGGAATCTATGTTGAAGCACTTGGAAAAAGGGAAAGTGATCAGGAATAGTGAACATGGATTCACCAGGGGCAAGTCCTGCATAACCAATCTGATTAGCTTCTACGATGAGGTAACTCGTTCTGTGGATGGGAAAGTCGGTGGATGTGATGTACCTTGACTTTAGCAAAGCTTTTGATACGGTGTCCCACAGTATCCTTGCCAGCAGGTTAAGGGAGCATGGATTGGATAAAAGGACTGTAAGAGGGACAGAAAACTGGCTAGATAGTCAGGCCCAATGTGTACTGATCAATTGCTTGATGTCTGATTGGCGGTCGGCTTCAACTGATGAGCCCCAAGGATGGGTTCTAGCATTGGTTTTCTTCAACATCTTTCTTTACGACCTCAGTGAGGGGATGGATCGCACCCTCAGGAAGTTTGCATGTGACACTACGCTGGGGGAGAGGTAGATACAGAGGATGACAGGGATATAGTCCAGAGTGACCTAGAGAAATTATAGGATTGGGCCAAAAGAAATCGGGTGAGGTCCAAGAAGGACAAGTGCAGAGTCCTGCACTTGGGACGGAAGAATCCCAAGCCTTGTTACAGGCTAGGGACCAACCAGCTAAGTAGCAGTTCTGCAGAAAAGGCCCTGAGGATTGCAATGGATGAGAAGCTGGAGATGAGTCAACAGGGCGCCCTTGTAGCCAGGAATGCTAATGGCATTTGGGGCTGCATTAGGAGGAGCATTGCCAGCAGATCCAGAGAAGTGATTATTCCTCTTTTTTGGCACTGGTGAGGCCACAGCTGAAGATATGCATGCAGTTCCGGGACCCCCCCACTACAAAAGGAAGGAGGTCTAGATGTAGGCAACCAAAATGATTGGTGGGCAGGAGCACATGACCTACAAGGAGAGGCTGAGGGATTTGGGCTTGTTTAGTCTGCAGAAGCAAAGAGTGAGGGAGGATTTGAGAGCAGCCTTCAACTTCCTGAAGAGGGGTGGCAAAGAGGCTGGAGAGAGGCTGTTCTCAGTGGGGGCAGATGGCAGAACAAGGAGCAATGGGCTCAAGTTGCAGTTGGGGAGGTCTAGGTGGGATATTAGGAAAAACTATTTCCCTAGGACGGTGGGGAAGCACTGGAATGGGTTCCCCAGAGGTGTTTACCTCCCTGCTTGACCAAGCCCTGGCTGGGATGATTGAGTTGGGTTGGTCCTGCTTTCAGCAGGGGGTTGAATTCGATGATTCCTCAGAATTCTTCCAGCCCTGGGATTCTAGTGTCTTTTTACAAAGCCAGAGAAATTAGAGTGAAAAGCAGAATTAGTCAAAATGGAGCGAATGAGGGAAATTCATAAACATTTTGTTTAATTTCTTACAGCGACTCTCAAGATTTTTGGTTTAAATTTCAGCATTTGAAAGAGTTTGCCCTA